CCAAAACTAGGCCCAATAAGCTTAAAACCCAAAAAGTCTTATACTAAGTCCCATAATACAAGACCAAATAATATAAACTCCTATACTACCAAATATATGAGAAAGGTGGTCATCTATATAAATACCAAGTAAAGAGAACCTTAGGCCCACCAAACCCATTAGGCTCACTAAGTTCAGAAGCAATCAAAAGTCCAAAGGCCCATGAAGCCAAAAACTAGGCCCAATAAGCTTAAAACCCAAAAAGTCTTATACTAAGACCCATAATATAAGACCAAACAATATAAACTCCCATACTACCAAATATATAAGAAAGGTGGTCATCCATGTAAAGCCCAAGTAAAAAGAACCCTAGGCCCATCAAACTCATTGGGCTCACTAAGCTCATAAGCAATCAAAAGCCCAAAGGCCCATGAAGCCCAAAACTAGGCCCAAAAACCTTAAAACCCAAAAGGTCTTATACTAAGGCCCATAAACCCTAAACCCTATTGGTTTAACTCGTCATTTGTTATTTTTGAAACTGGAACGGGCCTAGGGTTATCTTTACTTGGGCTTTACATGGATGACCACTTTTCTCATATATTTGGTATTATAGAAATTTATATTGTTTGGTATTGTATTATGGGCCTTAGTATAAAACTTTTTGGGTTTTAAGCTTATTGGGCCTAGTTTTGGGCTTCATGGGCCTTTGAGCTTTTCACTGCTTCTGAGCTTAGTGAGTCCAATGGGTTTGGTGGGCCTAAGGTTCTCTTTACTTGAGTTTTACATGGATGACCACCTTTCTCATATATTTGGTAGTATAGGAGTTTATATTGTTTGGTCTTGTATTATGGGCCTTAGTATAAGACTTTTTGGGTTTTAAGCTTATTGGCCTAGTTTTGGACTTCATGGGCCTTTGGGCTTTTGACTGCTTCTGAGCTCAGTGAGCCCAATAGATTTGGTGGGCCTATGATTCTCTTTACTTGGACTTTACATGAATGACCACCTTTCTCATTATTTTGGTAGTATAGGAGTTTATATTGTTTGGTCTTGTATTATGGGCCTTAGTATAAGACTTTTTGGGTTTTAAGTTTATTGGGCCTAGTTTTGGACTTCATGGGCCTTTAGGCTTTTGACTGCTTCTAAGCTCAGTAAGCCCAATGGGTTTGGTGGGCCTAGGATTCTTTTTACTTGGACTTTACATGGATGACCACCTTTCTCATATTTTTGGCAGTATAGGAATTTATATTGTTTGGTCTTGTATTATGGGTCTTAGTATAAGACTTTTTGGGTTTAGGGTTTAGGTTTAGATATAATTTAGTAGAATGAAAAAAAAAATTATTTTGCTTAAAAAAATTCGTATGACAAATTTGTAGTTAGAACGGCCCGTTCCGAATTTAGAACGGCCCGTTCTGGTTTAATTAGTCATTCGTTATTTTTGAATTGGGAATGGGCCGTTCTGATTTTGGAACGGCCCGTTCCGTTCCATACTTCATGTGTTTTTTTTTATCTGGAACGGCCCGTTCTGATACAATATTCATGTGTTATTTTTTTATTTGGAATGGCCCGTTCTGATTTCATAACGGCCCGTTCCGAAAGCGAAAAGCAGCTGCACCTGTGCATCGTAACACGTGCTTTTTTTTGTTGATAATTTAAAAAAAAAAAAATTTCAGTAAAAAATTCCGAAATTTTGATCCTGTGTGTGAAGGTGTATAATATACTATTACTTATTAAATGATAATCTCAACCATTCATTATTTTTATATTATATATCTACGATCATTATTCATGTTTAAACATGCAGCACGGATGGACCACTTCTCAAATTGCACTATCAGAGACATCACCCTTATATATATATACCGTATGGTGGCCGAAACGCCCGAATACCCGAGATCGTTGACCGTATAATGGCCGAAACGCCCGAATTCCCGAGATCGTTGATTATGCCGAGTATCCGAACCCGCCGACCACCCCCTACATGGGGTGAAGCGGGTCGGCCGAGTCGGCCGAGTCTGTCGACATCATCTAGATGGTTACGGAGAGATTAATTAATATAATGCACAAGATTAAACCCCTAATTTTCCGAGGCCCAGTCCCTAATTGCAGCCCAATAAGAACCACTATAAATAGGACCTCAACGAGGTACGTAATTAATTCTGAACTACCGCATTTATTACGCCGAGCACTAACTTGAGCGTCGGAGTGTCTTTGCAGGCACACCCCCTTCGGACTACCCGGATTGGAACAAAGAAACAGAGACCGAAGACCCGACCCGTCACAACGAAGATAATTGAAGTGTGTATCCTCAAACAGGAACATTTGGCGCCCACCGTGGGGTCGAGAAGACGTTTTCAGCCCCTTTCGAACTCTGCGACTGAGACCAAGACATGGTAGTAACCCGCAAAGGACAATCAACAGCAACTCAACCGGTTCCTAATCCCGATAGCAACCCCGTCATGACCAACCAAGAACGCTACCCGTATGGAATGCCTCAAACCGAACCTGAACCTGTGATACAAGAGGTCCGGCCGAACACTAACCGAGACCAACCTGACCTCCAAGATGACTTTTTTTTTTTAACTTTTCAAAACCAAATACATACTTTCTATTTGACATATATTTTACTGATTGGCTAAAATAAAAATAACAAGAAAAATAATTTTTAAAATTAAAAGAAGATAACAATGAAACAATAAAACCTGGAAAGTAAAAAATTATATATGTGAATGAAAATTTCTTTAAGTTATGGCTATGCACTATCGCAGCTATGAGTATCCAAAACCGAAACCGTAGTGACAATCACTTTGTGTGCACCTACAATGATAAACAATAAAAAAATGAGATCTAAAAATTGTAATTTGTAAATAAAAGTACTGTACTAAATTATTTTTCTCATGCATTAATAATTAATTTACAATATTTTAGAAGAGTTTGATCCTAGCTTTTCACATAACTCGAATTAAGAACACAGTTTCTTGCATAACAAGTAACATGAGATTTTTAATTTGGACTTACCAAAATTTACACAACACACATTTTTTCCTTTTATTATTGAACCTAATCTTCATATTTCTAAGTACTCGAACTCCTCCCCCACCTAACACAACACATTCTAATAAATCGAATGAAAATAACTAAAACAGGATAATACAACAGTTTTTGGTACAGCCACAAAAATAGGAGGAGTAATATACAATTAATCACACAAATGGAAGAAACCCTTCAATGCAGGGTCATGTGAAACTTGCTTAACAAGCTTCGAATATTAGCAACAATAGCCAAACTGTTACTAGTGTACTCACTTGCCGTCTTCATCCATTTCTTCATCTCCGCAACGGCCGCCACGTCACCCACCTCCTCCAGACCGTCGAGGCACGTCTGCTGGTCGGTCACCGCCGCGCTCACCCACGTCTGGACGTCGGCCACGGCGGGG